CTCCACGTCACGAGGCACAGCATGTCTGTCACTGCACTGTCGGTGCCTCAGACGAATCGGCAGATTCAGAGCCCAGCTCTTCCACTCTAACAAGAATCTGTGACTCAAGTGCATGATTACCACTGTCTACAGTGAGGCTTTGTCACAAGAAAAGCCAGCGACACTCAGCACATGCACAGGGAAAGACAGATACAGTGCCCTCTCCAAGGAGAAATCAAAAACAGTGGTCATGGTATGTGTTCAAAAAAACACCCAGAGGCCGGCACTGTGGTGTAGCCGGTAAAGCCACCGCCTGCAGTGCCAGCATCCCATATGGGCGCCAGTTCAAGTCTCGCCTGCTCCACTTCCTATCCAGCTCTCTGCTATGGCTGGGAAAGCAGTAGAAGATGGCCCAATGCTTGGGTCCATGCACCCGTGGAGACCTGGAAGAAGCTCTTGCTCCTGGCTTCGGATTGGCTCAGCTCGGCCAATTGGGGAGCGAACGAGTAGATGGAAGATCTCCCTCTCTCTCTGCCTCTCCTTCTCTGTGTAACTCTTTCAAATAATATATCTTAAAAAAATAATAATAGAAAACATCCAACAGCTCATCCTACTCCTCCCAGACCCTCAATAATTAAGTCTTCATCAATCAATATGTCAATTACTCAAATTTTTAAAAGAGAGGGGCTGGCTAAACCTCTGCCATGTGGCACCAACATCCCATTTAGGCGCAGGTTCAAATCCCAACTGCTCTACTTTCGATCCAGTTCCCTGCTAATGGCCTGGAAAAGCAGCGGAAGACGGCCTAAGTCCTTGAGCCCCTGCACCTGCTCCATAGACCCAGAAGAGGCTCCTGGCTTCAGATTGGCCCAGCTCCAGGCATTGTGATCATTTGGGGAGTGAACCAGCAGATGGAAGATCTCTCTCCCTCTGTCTGTAATTCTGCCTCTCAAATAAAATCTTTAAAAAAAAAAAAAAAAATTTTAAGGGGGTATTAAAGGTGAAGAACAGTCTGGTTCCAAGATTCTTACAAATCAGTGTGTTCTTACTGCATTCTTTTAATCTTGTGTGCAAATATCCACCCATCTAAATGTGGAGATAGAATCACCAACATGGTGTTACCACAGAAACCATGAAGAGGGTAAATGAAATACAGTGAAGAAAAAATTGTACATGGCAAACAAAGCTATATATACTTTTTCATTAATCACATTAGATTTTACTCAGAAAGAAGTAAAATGCAATCAATGAGACATGTGAGAAACCACATTCGAAGAGATAGTATGAATGACTTGAAAGGAAACTTTGAGGGTGTGCATTTGGCCTACTAGTTAAGGCACCTGCATCCCCTATCAATCAGTGTGCCTTCTTTCAAGCCCTGGCCCTGCTTCCAGTTCCAGCATCCTGCTCATTTAAATCCTAGGAGGCAATGGTGATGGCTCAATGACTGGGTTCCTGCCACTCACATGGGACCTGGATTGCCTTCTTAGCTCCCAACTTTGGCTTCAGCCAAGCCCCAGCTGTTGAGGGCATTTGAGAAGTAAACTAGCAGACACAAGCTCCATCTCTGTGTCCCAAATTTTTCAATATTAAAAATAAAAAATTACAAGGCCAGCACTGTGGTATAGCAGGTAAAGCCACCGCCTGCAGTGCCAACATCCCACATGGGCAATGGTTCGAGTCCCAGCTACTCTACTTCCCATCCAGCTCTCTGTTATGACCTGGGAAAGCAGTGGAAGATGGCCCAAGTCCCTGGGCCCCTGCACCTGCATGGGAGACCTGGAAGAAGCTCCTGGTTCCTGGCTTCAGATCGGCCCAACTCCAGCCACTGCAGCCATTTGGAGAGTGAACCAGCAGATGCAAGATTTCTCTCTCTTGCTCTCTGTCTCTCTGTAATTCAAATAAATAAATTTTTTCAAAAAATAAATTAAAGGGGCAGCACTCTGGCATAGTGGGTGAAGCTGCTGTCTACAGTGCTGACATCCCATATGGGTGTTGGTTTCAAAGCCCAGTTGCTCCACTTCCAATCCAGCTCTCTGCTATGGCCTGGGAAAGCACCCACATGGGAGACCTGGAAGAAGCTCCTGGCTTCAGATCAGCACAGCTTGGGCCATTATGGCCAACTGGGGAGTGAACTAAGGAAGACCTCTCTCTGCCTCTCTGTAACTCTGTCATTCAAATAAATAAATGAATGAATCTTAATAAATAAGAAAATTCTGCCTTTATCCTATAACACATGCTAATAGTCTAATAGTTTGCTTACTTAAAATTGATTGCTACAATCTATTTTTCACTGAAAGCTATATTATACTAGATTTTATTTTTTAACAGTGCTCATCTTTAAAAAATGGAATCAGCAGTTGGCACTGTGGCATGGCAGGTAAAGCTGTTGCCTGTTACACCAGCATTCCATAGGGGGCTGATTTGTGAACTGGCTACTCCACTTCCAATCCAACTCTGGGCTAGCAGCGTTAGAAAAGCAACAGAAGACAGCCCAAGTGTTTGGGCCCCTGCCACAAATGTGGGAGACCCAGAAAGAAGTTCCTGGCATTGTCCTGGCCAAGCCCAGGCCGTTGTGGCCATCTGGGGAGTGAACCAGATGGAAGATCTGTCTCTCAGTAAATCTTTAATAATAATAATAATAATAATAATAATAATAATAATAATGGGATCAGGGTGGGCAATGTGGCACGGCAGGGTAAGCCACCACTTGGGATGCCAGCATCTCATGTTGGATCTCCCGGGATGGAGTTCCACCTCCACTTCTGCTCCAGCTTCCTGCTAATTCACCTGGGAGACAGCAGATGATGGCCCAAGTTCTGGCATTTTCGCCACCCACATAGGAAACCTGGAAAGAATTCCTTGGTCTTGGCCTTTGCCTGGTCCAGCTCCAACTGTTTCAGATGTCTGACGAGTATACCAGCCAAAGGAAGATGTCTCTCTGTCTCAATGTCTTGATCTCTGTTTCTCTATTTCTATCGCTGTGCCTTTCAAATAAATAATTAGCTTAATAAAATGAGTGTGGGTGGACAGCTGGCTCTGTCACTAAGATGCTGCTTGTAACACCAGCATCCTTTATTGTAGTACCAGCTTGAGTCCTGGATGCTCCACCTCTGATCCAGTTCCCTGACTACAAGCCTGGGAAAGCAGTGAAAGACAGTCCAAGTACTTGGGACCCTGCCACCCATGTGTGAGACCCAGATGGAGTTCCTGACCCCTGGCTTTAGCTTGGGATAGCCTTGAACATAGCAGCTATTTGGGGAAAGAACCAGCAGGTAGATCGCTCACTCTCTCCCTATCACTAACTTTCAAATAAATAAGTAAATCATTTAAAACATTTTTTTTTTTTTAAATAAAGGGATCAGGACCAACATTGTAGCGTAGCAGGTAAAGCTGCCGCCGGGACATCAGCATCCCATAGGGGTACCAGTTCACGTCCCAGCTGCTTCAACTCCAATCCAGCTCTCTGCTAATGGACTGGGAAAAGTAATAGAAAATGGCCCAAGTGCTTGGCCCCTGGCACCCATGTGGGAGACCTGGAAGAAGCTCCTTGGTTCCTGGCTCCTGGTTTTGGCCTGGCTTAGCTCTAGCTATTGTTGCCACTTGAGGAGTGAACCAGCAGACAGAGGATCAATCTCACTGTGTCTGACTCCCTCTAACTCTGAGTTTCAAATAAATAAGTAAATCTTTAAAAAGGAGGGAGGGGGGCCAGCGCCGTGGCTCATTTGGTTAATTCTCCGTCTGCAGCGCCGGCATCCCATTTGGGCGCCAGGTTCTAGTCCCGGTTGCTCCTCTTCCAGTCCAGCTCTCTGCTGTGGCCTGGGAGGGCAGTGGAGGATGGCCCAAGTGCTTGGGCCCCTGCACCCGCATGGGAGACCAGGAAGAAGCACCTGGCTCCTGGTGCGGCACCGGCCGTAGCGGCCATTTGGGAAGTGAACCAACAGAAGACCTTTCTCTCTGTCACTGTCTGTAACTACCTGTCAAATAAATTTAAATAAATAAAAAGGAGGGAGGAAGGGAGGGATCAGACTAGGAATCTCAATACATGGGAACCCACTTTCCAAGCTACTGAACCCACTAAACAAATGTTCATCTAAAATAGGAAAATGTGTAAAGTTTAATCTTGCAAGTCCCCATTTCCATGTACCAAGTATATTTTTAATATATAACTAGAAAAATACCCAGCATATACCAAAAACCAATTGCTTCCTGCAAATAGTCAAATCAATAGTGTTATTCTGAAGATAAAAGCTTCATAAAATATTCTGCAAACAATATGACCAAGCAAGGGACCTCGGGGAATCAGACCAAGGAACCCTGTAAACCACACTGCGTGTTGACAAGGGTTCTGATACAGGGCCATTTGATTTGAGAAGACTAACCTGAAAACACACAAAGCCTGTTACTCTTGATTTTTACATGAGAAACACGTAACTGCTGAGAACTTTCCATAATTCTTCTGCAAGTCAGACTTGGAGAACTTTCCGGCTCCATCGTCTGGAACAGTCCATTTCTTTTCTCTCTTCCACTACGGGGTCTCAGATTCTTACCATGATATCATTATTTTGCATTTGCACACTGATGACCCAGGCTATTCAATCGTGCTACATGTGTGCTTACACACAATCAATGCAGTACCACCACCCGAGCAGAGGGAAGCTGCTCACAGTTTACACATAAAGCAGTAGAGGCATTTGTCATTCAGAAGATCTGCCAAAGAGGGAATTTCATATTTAAATGTAGTTACCAAACTCACCAGAAAGAATTCAGATCAACATTCAGTCAGGATGGGGTTGAATAAGCAGGACTACCCGGTTCTTTCAGCTTTTCAGTATCTCAAGAGCAGACTTTAAAAAGGATATATTGTACCCTTACCAAGAAAAACCCACAGCAGACACAGGTGGAAGAGAGAGGATTCTGTGTTGCAGCACACCCAAGAGGCGAGGGAAGGAGGAAGACCTTTGCACAAAATGACAGCAACAGGCTTAGAAACTCAGAGGTTTAAACACAGAAATGCTTACCTCCCACTGTAAGTGAGGCGGGATATTTCGTATCTGAAGTTTCCGAATCCTGCAGAAGAATTAAAATTATGGTTTAAGAAAAAAAAAATACAAAAGCAAATGACAGTAAAGGCAACATGGGGGTTCAGAAATCACTTGAAGTGCTAACTTCATATTCATTACAAACCAATCTATAATAAGAAAAATGCAGCCAAAGAAGGAAAAATAAAGAAATTCAATCTCAAGATGCACATGGAGACCATTTGGAGATCCAGCATTACTGGACTGTCATGACATATTTTAAAAGTCACTAAAACTGGCAGATAGAATGTTTGAAAAACATTTCATCTGATGACTGTATTCAAAGTTCAGACCCTTTTGCCTCGAATTAAGTGTCCCAGGACATAAACAAAGCCTTGGTCCAGATGTTCTCACTCCAAGATCACTGCCAAAGGGTCCACGGATAGAATTCAGGGCCCTCCTAATTGGGATGGGGGTGAGGAATATCACATATTTGTTTTACTATCCCCTATGTGAATTCTAACACTCTTCAATGATGGCTGCTGGCAATAAACCACAGAACTGCAGCACTTGTAACTCTTACATCAACAGAAATCACATATTTTCATGGCACACTGCATGGTTGCAGATCTTTAAATATCATCTACACTCATTACTGTGAGATTCTGTTGTGATGCTACAACTTGTAAGATGAAGCACATATCACTATGAGTTTGAAAATTTCTCCAACTGTATTTCAAAATGACTAGTTTCCTTTAAAAGCCTCTGCATTTTATGCAATTTAAAACACCCTACGAAAAGGTCCATTGGGCTTCACACTGCCAGGAGTCCTCTGCATAGGAAGAATTACAGAAACGGGACAGTGTTGTGGCACAGCAGGCTTAAGCTTCCACTAGCGATGCCAGCATCCCCTAACTGCAGCGTCAGTTCGAGTCCTGGCTGCTCCACTTCTGATCCAGTTTCCTGCTAATGTCCCTGCCAAGGGAGCAGGTGATGTTCCAAGTGCTTGGGTCCCTACCACCCATGTAGGGGACCAAAATGGAGTTCCTGGTTCTTGGTTTTGGCCTGGCTGAGCCCTGGCAATTGTAGGCATCTGGGGAGTGAACAGGCGGGCAGAAGATGTCTCTGACTCCATCTTTCCCTCTCCCTATTGTTCTGCCTTATAAATAAGTAACAAGAAAGCACACTTAGATACTTCAGAAAGTTCATGGAAAACTTCAGAAAGTTCAATACTGGCATTCCATATAGTCGCTAGTTCAAGATCCGGGCTACACTTCTGATCCAATTCCCCGCGAATATACTTGGGAAAAGCAGCGGAGGATGGCCCCTGCATCCATGTGGGATACCTAGACAAACCTCCTGGCTCCTGGCCCAGCCTTGGCTGTTGCAGCCCATTTGGGGAGTGAACCAGGGGACAGAAGATCAATCTCTCCAACTCTCTCAAATAAATCAATAAATCTTAAAATAAAATAAAAAGTCATCTGTAGCCTTTTCATGACACACATTGCCCATGAACCTTCTGAAGACCCTAGAGATATGTGGGGGGAGGGGGAAGATGAATACCACAACCACACATTAATGAGGCAAGGCTGAACCATAGATGCCACAGCCCACTCACTTCCTTTAGAAGGAAAAGGAATTTATGGTCAACTGGCTAGCAGCAACAGCACAACTGGCAACTGAGCTTGACATCAAGCAAAGCAATTAAATCACTTGAGTTCTGTTACAACTACAGAACTCTTTCTCTTTCCAGGTCACAGGACCCGTGAGACTGAAGCCCTACAGCAGAAGACCCGCTGAGAGCCAGGCTTAGAGACTACTGCTTCGCCTTTTCTCTTCCCCCAGAACAAGAACAAGCAACGCCACCCCTGCCAACTCTCCCAGGTTCACCAAACACAGGCACACCCCCGTCTGCAGTTACAGAATGGAGGTGGGAGGGGAGAAGCACTTTTGCATTGTTTTTATGGCAACAAAATGAAGCACCATCACCCGCAACATACACCAAAGAAATGGTGGGAAATTATCAACTTAAGGGGAAACATTTCTAAATATCAACTACTTGAAATTGGCAGATGAAATACTTGTCTGGGATTTGTTTTAAAATAACTCATGTGGGTGAGTGTTGTGGTGCAGTGGGTTAAGCCAACAGGCAAGATGCCTGTATCCCTTATCAGAGTGGCAGTTCAAATCCCAGCTACTGAGCCAGCTTCCTGCGAATGTGCCTGGGAGGTAGCAGGTGATGGCTCAAGTATGTGGGTCCTTGCCAACCATGTAAGAGACTGGGATGGATTTCCAGACTCCTGGCTTCAGCCTTTCCCAGTTTTGGCTATTGCAGGCACTTTGGGATGTAGTCAAAGAATGAAAGCTCTCTCCCCCTCTCTGTGTCACTTTGTTCTTCAAGTAGATGAAGATAGATGCTTTAAAAAGTAAAAATAACTCATGTGTGCTTAATTGGTAAAGCTGCAGAATAGGTACTACTACTCTGCTTTTGTATAAATTGTTTTTAAGACTTATTTATTTGAAAGACAGAGAGAAGGGGGGGGCAGGCAAAGCACTTCCATCTTCTGGTTCACTCCCCAAATGGCTGCAACGACCAGGGCTGGGCCAGGCTGAAGCCAGGAGCTTTTTCCGGCTCTCTGAAGCGGGCACAGGGGCCCAAGCACCTGGGCCATCTTCTGCAGCATTCCTAAGTGCATCAGCAGACAGCTGGCTTGGAAATGGAGCATCTGGGACTTGAACTGGCGTCCATATAGGATGCCAGTGCCGCAGGCAGAGGCTTTACCTGCTACATCACAGTGCCCCTTGTATAATCTTATATTTTCTATAAAAGCATTGAAAATACACCCTAGCAAAACATTTCTAATACATCGGTTTCGGAACTGCTATATATTGCGTCAGCTAATATATAGCAGAAAAGTTCACTCACACTACATAAATACTTACCCTGGGTAACCAAGGAGGTGGGAATTATTTTCTACTCATATGCAAGCACTCATCTGTTGTGATCAAGCATCTGACATAGTAAGGGGTAGCAGCACCCCAGCATTAAATGCCAAGTATTCATCTCCACTGGACTCATTCAGCGCGGCGGAGTCAGCTTCCCAAAGCTGCACGGGTAAATGCACATGCAGAGCTCCAGCCCAGCAGCAAGTCACTGTTCACCTCACACACGGCCGCTGCAGGGGCTGGCACTGTGGCGCAGCGGCTAAGGCCGCCGCCTGCAGTGCCGGCATCCCATGTGGGTGCCGGTTCAAGTCCCAGCTGCTCCACTTCTGACCCAGCTTTCTGCTATGGCCTGGGAAGGCAGTGGAAGATGGCCCAAGTCCTTGGCCTGCACCAGCGTAGGAGACCCAGAAGAAGCTCCTGACTCCTGGCTTCGGATCGGCATGGCTCTGACCATTGTGGCCAATTCGGAAGTGAACCAGCAGACGCAAGACCTCTCTCTCTCTCTCTCTCTCTCTCTCTCACTGCCTCTGCCTCTCTGCAGCTCTTTCAAATAAACAAATAAATCTTAAAAAACAAAAAGCCACTCCACAGGGCTCTCACATCTTTTGGAGATGAAGAGTCACCCATTACACATGTTTTCTTGTGGACTTTCTGCACCCATTCACTTATCCAAAGTTATTTCTGAGTCATTATTTTCCTTAAATGGCTTTCCAGTTTCCATTATCTGATTCTCTCAAGTTTCACTTCAGACAAACATCAGAATTACTTACATCAAGTGTTCTGCCTTCTAGGACTGTTCTTTCCTATCTGCTCAGTAACTCACCTTTAACTTTGTGTGCAGTTTTACATCACCCGCTAACACCGTGCTTCACTCTTATCAGTACAAGAGTCACACAGTTCAACACGACACGGAACCAAGGCAAGAAATGTAATCACCCAGCCCAGAGACACCAACTCCAGTCTACCAACTCAGCTGGACTTATCATTTAAGTGTACACAATTAAAACCCTATTACTCAGGAGCTGGCATCGTGGCCAACTGGGTAAAGCCGCCACTAACAATGGCAACACCCCACATTGAGGTGCCAGTTCTGCTTCCAACACAGTTTCCTCCTAATGCCCCTGGGAAAGCAGTGACCAACGCCAAGTACTCGAGCCCCTGCCACCCACCTGGGAGACCAGGATGCAATTCCTGGCTTCTGGCCTCAGCCTGGCTGAGCTCCAACAGCTGCAGTCATCTGGGATTTGAACCAGCAGATGGAAGCACACATGCTCTTTCTCTGCCTTTACAATTAAAAAAAATTAAAATAAATCTTAAAGAAAACACTGAGGCTGGTGTTGTGGCTCAGCAATGCTGGCATCCCATATGAGCACCAATTCAAGTCCTAACATGCTTCACTTGCAACCCAGATCCCTGCCAATGCACCTGAGAAGGCAGAAGATGTCCCAAATACTTGAGCCCCTGCCACCCAATCCTGTACTCTAAAGCTTTGTGTCATTTTTAATAATTATTTACTACACTGAATTTCATATTAAATGGCATATTTTTAATGAGAACATAAAGCATCTATGAATCCACCTCAAATAATCAGAGCAACATACCTCAAGTCCCCTGCAACCCCCATCAGAATGCAATTATCATGCCCAATTTTGAAAAATAGGTTTTAGGGCAGGCATTGTGTTACCACAGGTTAAGCCTTCAGATAATCGATCAAGTCTGAGCTACTCTGCTTCTGAACCACCTTCCTGCTAAAGCACCTGTGAAGGCAATGGATGCTGACTTCCATACTTGGATTCTTCCTCCCTTCTGGGGGACCCAGATGGTGTTCTTGGCTCTGGTTTCAGCCTGATCCAGCCCTGAGTGTTGAGGCCATTTGGGGAGTGAACCAGTGGATAAAAAATCTGTCTCTCCCTCTGTTACTCTGCCTTTCAAAGAAATAAAATTCTCAAAGGAAAAAAAAATCTAATGCTATTACTTATGAATATCAGCATTTTTTTGAAAATTTATGTATTTATCTAAAAGTTGCAGTGACAGAAATCTTCTCTCTGCTGGTTCACTCCCCAAATGCCCACAACAGCCAGGGCTAGGCCAGGCCAAAGCCAG